ATATTGGCAAATCAACTTGTATAAAACGATTAGAAGACATGTGCCCAAAAACAAAAATATGTATCAAGCAGAAGACATTGACAAGCACTGGATTACACATGAAGTAAGAGAAATGATGAAGAAGAGGGATACACTATATAAGAGAGCTGTTATTGTAAGGAATGATATTATTTGGAATGAGTATAAGATAGATTCGGGTTGAGAAGGAAAAATACTATCAAGAGGCTATAGATGAAAATAAACATCATAATCCAAGAGAATTGTAGAAAAACCTAAAAACATTGCTTCCTGGAAAGAACCACCATTCCCTTAAAGAGGCTATATTTGACAGCCTAATTTTGGTAGATGAAATGAAAATAGCCACTGAATTCAATAAATTTTTTGTCAACAGAATTTCTGAATTGATTGACAAACTGTCAAAACCCAGGGTGCGTCTTCTGCTATCAGTTTGAGAGAATATCTATGAGCAAATAAAAACAGATCCTGAGAAGCATTAAAATGGTTGGAGGTGGTGAAAGTGGAATTTCCAAACGAGTGCTCAGAGATGCTTGTATTGTCATTGGTGATCGAATTCTTGACACAATTATTGCTCCTCTATCAAGTAGTGTATTTCCCGAGTCATGGAAGGAGTCAACGGTCATCCCTGTCCCTAAGAAAAACAATAAAAAACAGCATAAAGAATTAAGACCTATAGATACTGTAACCGTATATATGAAAAACTTCTTGAAATGGAGGTGAAGGAGCAGCTCCAACAATATTGTGATAAGAACCAGCTATTAGTCTCAAACTGACTCAAACCAGTCAGGTTTTCGTGAAAACCATTCCTATGAATCTGCTATTGTGAACATCTGTGATGATTTCCTATTTCCTCAAAGCAATTGACTGTGATAATATTGTGTTAGAAATCGAATGATTAGTTTTCAAGATATTATCTGTAAAAGTTGCCATGAGCTGAATAGGAAACAATCTTCTGGCCCTGATATTCTCAAATTAACACTTTCCCGACTTTCCTATCGGACACGGCAATTTTATTTTTTTGTGTGCTTCCGAAAAAATTTGAATTGATGTGTCCGAAAGGAAAGTCAGGAAAGTATTGATTTGAGAATAATAGGGCCAGAAGATTGTTTTTTATTTAGCCTATGGCAACTTTGACAGTAAATATCTTGAGGACTAATTATTCGTTCTTGAAAAAAAAGTACACAGTTGTGACGAGAATCAAAATACCTTTAAAACAAGGTACTACTCGACCCATCTCCCCTATCTTAAACAGAGGGGTGAAAGTCACCCCACCCAAGGAGTGCACCCTAGCAAAATACCGATGGAGTCAAAAAGTTTCCCCCTTGAATAGAAAACTGAGGTGTCCGAGCTTTTTTTTTTTTTAATCGATCTTAAAATACTCCCAAACGTTTCTGGTTCGATGTTCGTGAAACACCCTGTATATCCTAAATGATATAGGTAGGGTGGTAGATAAAAGTAAAATTGTATTGTTTGCGTATGATACAATGCTGTAGGTACGTTCTTCTTCTTCTTCTCTCTTTTTTGGCTTTTGCTCCTATTGGGCAAATTTGATAGCTCGCCATCCACACCGACTGCGTCCGGGGCTAATTGGGAATGGTGGTACGTTTTTGGTAGAGATGTGAACCAATTGCAACAAATTGTGACTATCGAATTAGGTAAATTATATGGGTGGCTCTGTGATAACAATCTTTGCATCAACGTCGATAAATCCAAGTTTTGTGTCTTTGGTAAAAGTACAAGAATTAGGGATATTGATGTGATAGGTACATATCATGAGCATGAATAATAGTGCTCTGGCACATGAAAACCAAATCAAGTACTAGATGCACTTAAACTTCTAGGTTCATGCTGACTATGTTATAAGGAAATTTTCTAAAAAGGTTGGTCTTCTTTCGAGGGTGGGAAATAGTTTGTCGATTGGCACAAGGATGCTCTTGTAAAATATCATTGTCCTACCTATTTACAGTTTGTTCTACACTTTCGTATGCATTACTGGCTTTCAAGATAGAACAGATTCAAAAAAGACAAAACGAAAACAGGGCTATGAGAGTAATTTTAAAATGCAATCGATATAATCATATCAGGGTTATGCATGATGTTTTGGATATGTTGTCTGTTAAACAAAAAATTATTTCTAATGTACTTAGATGTATTTGTACTTAAAATTAAGAATAGGATGCTACTATTTTTAGAGATGCGCATGAGTATAATACTAGCAATTATGGCGACTTTCTTTTAGCTCAAAGATGCAATACTAGTCAATTGTTAAATTCTTTACTTTGTAAAGGCTTGTATGAATTCAATAGATTACCCTATAATATTGAAAACTGTGACAGTAATAATTATTTTAAAACGTTAGTGAGATCATAATAATATGTTGTATTGAATTTTTTATTTGTGAATTTTTAAATATTTTGTAAATAGCTTATGCTTAATAAACGACTAATTTATTTATTATTATTAATAATTCAAGTTTTTTTTTATTATGTATTATTATTATTAATAGGTAATAATAAAACTTAATTATTGTAAGTATTTTTATTAAGGGAGGTGAGTATCGCTTCCACTCCTACTAAAACAATAGTCTAAGATTTTGACAAGCTGTCATTTCGTTACGGATAAAATCGTCGTGATCGAGCGTTTTTAAGATTTTCATTTCAAATCAAGAAAATTGGGATGGAAAATTTCCAATGACCCACCCTGTATAATAGTTTAATCGGAGGTAAAAAATTGCTTACAAAATGGGCGCCAGCTTAGTAAATAATGAATTTGAAAAAAGAAACATAGTAAAGGAAAAAGTTGTGGAGAATCCGATTATCTACAATAAGAGACCAGAAATTCCATTGTAGCACAATCTTGAGAAACAACCCCTATAGCTAAGGGCGCGGAAGAGGAAAGTTTCTGATTCCTGTGTTTTCACACTCAGGACACGCCCTTTGAACAATCCTGAAAAAATCAGCTTGGCTCTAATTTTTTTTTTTTTGCGAACGACAATTATCTTGGACTATCTGGGGACTGGAATATTCGACGAGTTTGGTATTGAAGGAAAAATCTAGCTGGCGAACTATTATATCAATCGGCGTCACCGGAGATTGCCAATAGCGAGTTTTCTGAACAATTGGCAAATGGTCTTAAACGGTATACTTAAAAGGAGCCCGCGACGTCAAAAAGAGTCGAGCGAAAAGACTATAAGTTGGAAACAGTGAGGCGATCAATTGGAGAAGAATTCGACGACCTCCTGGCTCGATGAAACTGTTTGCCAGGATTCGAAGTGCCAACCAACATTAAAATCCAAAGAGGAATAAGTGAACTGCATTGGACATGTCGTATCTGTCATTGGCCGAGACCAAAGAACAAACATGAAGTCAGAAGTTTCCTAGGATTCTGCAACTGCTACCGTCGGTTTATCATGAATTGTTATAGGAAGATCCTTGAGTAGAAGATCGGTATGACTGGATCTTTTGTCGTGGAGATGTCGAAGAATGGCGCAATTGATGCAACCTCTGCTCCCAAAAAAAGACGCAATCTCGAAAAGAAATGGATAGAATGATATGCAGTAGATATCGCGTATTTCAGAACAATTTAATTCCATCTGCTAATAGAATGGTAATCGATGAGAGATTTCGAAATGAAATTGAAAGGATATTTTTTCACCTTACCTTGCTCTACTTCCAAACTCCACTCAGCTGGCCAGCTCATTCAGGAAGTTCAGGTCCCATGCGTAGGAATGCAACGAAACTGTCTTGATTTAACCGGCCGCGGCAAACGAAAAACCGCGGGCCAAATTTAGCACAGCCGTATATCATTCTTAGGCATAGAGCACGCGCAATTCAATTAGAATAAGAGAAAACAAAAAATGAAGAAAAACGAATCAATTCCCATTTCTAAATAGGATTTAACATCCTAAATACCCAATTTAACCTATAACTATATACAGGGCGCGTAGACAAAACTGAATACCATCCATAACGTGGCTACAATTTCTGAAGCATTACTATAAAACGTCAAAGCGAGACACGACGTGCCAATGGAACATCACACCGATCAAGGGAGGAATTTTGAGTTTCTAGTGAGGAAGCAACTGATGAGGTAACTGGGAATAAGGAAAGTCATCACGACTCACCTTCTCCTCAGTCCGACGGAATAGCCGAGGCATAATCAATACCTCTCGATGTTTGTGGATGAAAATACAAGCGATACTCGTGCTTCTTCTCCATATAGCTTCAAGCTGAGAGATGGCCTGAATAGATTGGCAGAACCTGAAAAGATGTCACAAGGAGTCCAATGGAGCCTGAGTTTCGTCGGCGTCGCTTTCCACCACATCCAGAAACATATAAAGAAGCTCCTAGCATGAATCAACGACAAATGTAGTTCACTCGAAGCGAAATGAAAATTCCCGTAGTTCTAATGTTTGATAGACCACCGGGCGATGATGCACTCTAGTTTATTGACTTATTTCCAAAACAGACTCAGTCTGACCAGACCAGATACATAATGCGAGACTTGACAAGCTGCAGTCATTGAACAAATTCGGTAAAAGAGAAAATTTAGAGTAGGTATAATGATACTAACTAATCTTCAGGTAGATATAAAGTAGAATTTCGATCGCTAGACAGACACTGGTAAAATAGCGCATGAATTACTGTATAAAGAGTTACATTTCGAAATAATTTAAGTTAATAATATGACAGATTGAGATAACAAAGTACTGAATTACATTTTCAATGTAGGTACCTCTGAATTTAACAATAATTAGCAGTCATAGAAACATTACAATGAATGTCGTGAAAAAACACATTCCGCCTCTGAATTTGACTTTTAAACTTATGGGGTTTGAAGCGAAACCCTCACTTGCGACTTGGGAAACCTTTTTTGATTGTAAATACTATTTTCCTGGCGTGTATGAATTGTATGATCTGTCAAAACTTGATTTTTTATAAAAAATAATATAGATACATAACCGAGTAAATAACTATACTCACCCTCCAAAAAAAGTATTTTCATTCTGGCGTGGTTGGGCATAACTAAGTCTCTGCTGAAACAAAAACAAAAAATTAACTAAATTGATAAAATATAATTATTATTAATAAAAATGATATTCTTATGCGTGATTTTTTAATGTTCTGCAAACACAGCCATTATTTATCATAGGTAAATATTCATTTCTTTAGGAATTTACACCTAAAAATTAAAAAACAATTGAAACAATAATTATAAATGGCCTCCATTTGGAAAGTAATCTGATCTTTTCCTAAAGCAGTTACCCAAAAACTTACTTACTTCCAATTTGGAGCTTTTAACTGGCTATTATCGAGGGACTAAATATTATGTGATATTGATAATGGTTATACTTATTCAAAAGTAGGCCAGTAGGACCGCCTTCACTTTTGTTGTTTTATATCTTGCCTATCTGTTACACACACATTATTTTTTCACTTTTACCATTTACTGAATAACTTAATTAATCACCAATACAGGTCATTAAGAACATATTGTTTTAAACATAGACAGTCAATCGGTGAACATTTAAAAAAATAGTTTCAGGATTAATTAGTGAAATATTTTGCAAAAACTGACCGCAAATATTTGGGTGACTTGCAATATCTATCACAATGTCATTAGTGCTCTTTGTTATTGATTTGTAGATTTTTGACATGAACAATTGATTTTACGGTTTTGCGGAGGAAATTTAGTTTTATTGTGAACTATTCGGTGTAATGGTTTTTTGGGTCATTAATCCTTGTCTGATTGCGAGACTTCTAATGTAGTGTCCTTTCATATTGCTCAGGCAATTCTCGAATCCCAAAATAGCCACGAAACGAGATTCTCCAAAGGAATTCACATTAATTAGTATTTAAATCCTAAATAGTGTCAATCCTATACCGATTTTAAATTATTATGCAGAATATTATCTGAAATATTTCCATAACGAGAAAGTTATGCAATATAAATACCATTATTGCGTTTTTTGTATTCTGCGAGCAATTATATTAGGTTTTTTAAATGCCTGATTTGAAAATTCCAGTAATTACGGTAAAATTCTCATTAACTTGCTTGTAAATAGGTACTCATTGAAGCATAAGTTTAATCATTTTGGTATATTGTTTTTGGACTATAAAAATCTGCGTTGAAAGACTTTCTATAGGCGATATTTATTCAGGAAAGTAATATTAGGACAGACATGAATTTAAAAAAAAAAATTATTTTGTTGTCGAATTTTAATCAATGAAATGCCTATTACAGCTTCTTCATAAAACGTTATGGTTTTGTTCCTTTTTTTTCTTTGTTGAACTGGTTCATTGATCTCTTGATGTTGTAAAAAAAAAACAACAAATAAGTATTTATCAAGAATTAAAAATGTGGATAAAGATAAAAGATAAAATCTAACGATTAGAAAACAAATAAAAAAATTGTGATTTATTTAACTAAAGAAAAAGTTGTATGAGGCTGGAGCTCAGGTCAATTGGAAAAGGCCATCAGAGCCAAAAAGACTAAAGATATAAAGTATGATATCATCAATTTTGCATCTGAATCTGAATTCAGTGCAAAGTCTTTTTCAGGGTTCTTTCTATCCATAGTGCTGTATGCTGATGACAGGTCAGTTATTGCACATTATGCAACAACTGAGAACAACGCCTTGAAAAAGCAGGTTTCGGACAGGAAATATGATTGGTGATAAAACTAATTTATACATAGATATTTAACCTAGGTACATTAAAAAGCAATGATCAGAATTTTTCCAAAATACAAAATTATGTTGATTGAATTGATAATATTAATCTTTTCGGTCTAATTGTTGACAAAAATTCAGTTTGGAATGGAACGGTTGTACGTGGTAAGTTTTCTCAGCAATTCATGGATACCTACCTACTGTTAGACATATGGCATTATATTTTGAGATAGCCATTCCCTAACTACTTATGCTTCGCATCTTTGTAATAACACCGAAAAGAATTGTACGAACAACACCCTTTTTTTGTCAGATTTCAAATATTTTCCTCGAAAATGTAGTTTTTGAAAGTGCTCTAGCTTTTGAGTATGCTGTTGTCATAATCCTTCATTCTTTGACTAATTGATCCGGAGCGCATTGGTGCTACACTTTGTATTGAATCCGCCCCAGGGATTTATAATAACCTCTGTCTCTGTGTGAATGGATTCAAGCGAAGCCTGTAATAATGCAAATACCCCAGAAATAAGGCTATAATCGACAAAATTAAGCATAAGACTAACTTGACAAATAATTAATGACACAATCTTGAATGACACAAATACCTACAGGTAGAAATGGTATTAAAACATAAAGGTGTATCACCACATTCTCCCCAGGCTTATTTTGAAACATAATCTGTCAAGTACTTTGGAGACTGAAGGTTTCTTCTGGGTCGGACTAATATGAATTCATCTCCGGATGTGTCCGAGTGTATATTTTCTTCAGGATCATCATTGTGTGGATTCTCTTCCGGATCATCATTCTAATTATCAGGTTTATGCGCATCTTGTTTATAGGAGTTACTTTCTCGTTCCGATGCATTACGAGATTGAAAGGAATTTTCACTATCATCATCGTCATCTTAATTCAGGTGCACTTCTACGTGGTGCTAGACGTCTTAGATTGACAGTATCTTCTCTGCCATCGGGAAAACGAACAAACGCATAATCTGGGTTTGCTTCCAGCAAGTACACCTAGTCCACGAACGGGTCGTATTTACTTTTCCTAAAGGGCCCCATACACTACGTTCTTTCTCGTCGGTTTTCATCGCCGCGATGAAACACGTCGTTCCAAAACCGAAGTGTGTGGTAGAAAAACACGACGGTTTTGTACCACACACTTCGGTTTTGGAACGACGTGTTTCATCGTGGCGATGAAAACCGACGAGAAAGAACGTAGTGTGTGGGGCCCATTACATTCTTTTTCATCCAAACCTGGCCAGGACTTGAAAGCCAGGAAGGAATAGCTTGTCCGTTGCTAGATTTACGAGAATGTTTAAACATGCGTTCATGAGGTGCTTGATTTGTTGCAACACACAAAAGAAATCGGATAGAATGCAATGCATCTTTTCAGACCACGAGACTTCAGTGCGAGCGAAATTGTTTTCCATATTGTACCATTGAATCTTTTTACTCGACCATTGTTTTCCGGATTATAAGCAGTCGTTCTGCTAGTGGCTATACCTTTTGAATGAAGATATTCCTTCAGTTCTTTTGGCATTAAAGAGCTTCCTCGATGAGAATGTATGTACGAGGGCATTCCAAATATTGAAACAAGATTTGTGAAACATTTATTCACAGTCCCTGCAGTCATATCCGGGAAGGCGTAAGGAAAAGGGAATCTTGAGAATTGATCTTCAATTGAAAATAGGTAACGACTTGTTGAGGATGTTGGAAGAGGAACTTTTAAATTAATGTTGAGCTTTCTAAATGGTCTGATTGATTTTATTAGTATTCCTTGATTTTTACTGAACGTCGGCTTGAGCTCTCTACAAATAGTGCTGGCTTTGATCATTTTTCGTACATCGTTTATGGAATAAGGTAAATTTCGAGATCGAATCCACTGAAATATTCTAGTTATTCCAGGATGACAAAGTACATCATCTAACTTGTACAATTTATTCTCAGTTGGAGCCCTACATACCCGAGAAAAAGTATCGGCTACGATGTTCTCATTTCCTGGACGGTAGCTATGTCATATGAATAGCATGAAAGTTCGAGTCTCCAGCGTTGAATTTTTTCATTTTTTATTTTACTACTATGCTTGGTGTGGAACATGAATGAGACCGATCTTTGATCTGTTATCAACTTGAAATGCCTTCCAATAAGAAAGTGACGCCATTTCTTCAGCGCTTTTACAATAATTGCTAGCATGCTGCTTTTTCAACTGCTGAGTGGTTTTGTTCAATATATGATAGCGCTTTTGAGAAAAACGGTCATACAGACTGGCTTAGAATTGCTGCTATTGAATGTTCAGAGACGTCTGTTCCCACCAAAAATGAAAAGTATTTTTCAATGGCAGTGATAGCTGATTTTGCTACTTCAGTTTTCAAGTTGTGAAAATCGGTGATAGCAGGCTCTTGCATAGGAAAGTTTCTGGTACTAACAATTCTATGAATTTTCTAGGATAATCTAGGTATCCATTTAGAGTAATGAGCGTACATGCCCACAGCTCTTTGAAGTGAAGCTTTATCAATTGGTACTGGCAGATTCTGTAGAGGTTCAAGTCTTGCAGGATCAGGCTTAAGTGTTCTGTTTCCTATAAGATATCTCAGTAGTTTATTTGTCTTTTTGTTCAACGAACTTTTATTTATAGATTGTACTTTTTAACAGCTGTCAGAAAAGCTGATAGATTCTTATCGTGTTTTTCTTGATTTTTTCCACAAATTGTGATATCATCGAGATATGCGTAAACGCCTTCTAGATTCTCTTGCCTGATTATTGTATCTTAGACTCTCTGAAAATAAGCTACGCCGTTAGTCACACCAAAAGGGATACGATTGAACTGGTACAGGTTTCCATCAGCTTCAAAAGCAGTGAACTATTTTTCATCATCTCTTATAGGAAACTGGTGGTACGCACTTTTTAGGTCAATAGTGCTAAAAACGTCAAACTTTGAGACTGAGTAAACTTGTCGATTTTTTGAGAATAGTCAACAACCATTCTCTTTTTATGATTTTCGTTGTCTGTCACAAGAAATTGTGCTCGGCAGGAAGACGTACTTTCCTCAATGAAACCTTCTGAAAGAAGCTTTTGTACTTTACTTGAAATAAATTTGGCATCATCATGTGAAAATTTTCTAGATTTTGTAGCGATTGGTTTACATTGCGATGATAGATTAGCGAATAATTGCGGAGCTTCAATTTTAGCAGGAGCTAGAGAACAGTGTTTTGTTTCAAGTACAGTCATAGCAGATTTTCGTCCTCCAAAATAGACGGTCAACATTTTATGTTGCTCAAAAATGTCATGACCAACGATAATATCAGCATAGAGGTCTGGTAGAACCGAAACTTTTACGTTTGCATACTGGTGATTAAGAATGTTGAG